AGCAAGCTGCATGGAAAGCCACTGAACTCAACACGCAGTTTTTTCAGATGTGTAGAAGTGAAGCCAGAAGTGATCTCTGGAGTTGGTACATCTGCAGGGCTGAACAATAGCTCAGCAGGATCACAACTTTGAACTTAGGAACCCAAATTCTGCCTTAGTCTCGCTTTGTAGGCCTATTTTCTTGCCCTACATGCTGCTTTTCTAAATATCTTACGAGAATGGAAACCTCATCCTGTGGAAGGAAAACATGAATGTAAATTGTGTAATAGTCTCTCTGATTCATCAAATGTAAGCTAGGAAAGAGCAAGCGTACATAATGTATGGTGAGAGGAAGAAAGAAACTACTACCACCAATCTCCCTGCTTCAGTTCTTCTGAATTACAATGTGTATTTTGGAACAAGATGAAATAAATGTCTGTAGAATAGCAATTATGACTGAAGGACAGCAAGTGAGTTAGGGAACTTAATCCTACACTGTAATGCATCATCAACAGCAAGAAGGAAAAATAAATGTAAATTTCCCCTGTATTCAGTTTTGCTTCTCTTCTCTCTTTTTCTTCCCTCTCTGTAAAATCCTTGTGAATCACCAGTAAAGAGAGGAACTACAAAATGAAGCAGTCTTTTAAAACTGTACAGTGCTTCTGGCAGCGAAGCCTTGGAATTTGTTTGGGAATTATTTTACCGGAAGTACAGATTTGGGGGGAGGAGGAGTCCATTGTTACATGCTATGTTATTCCCTCACAGAAGAGAAAAATCAATCCATTCTCATAAATAATATACAAAATTCTCAGCAAGACCTAACTAAATTCAATGCACTTAAGATGTCACCAGCATTCTAGGCCTGACTGGGTACAAAGATTTGGTTGGGGAAAGGTATTATTCTGGCCAACTGCTGGTAAAATTTGGGTGGACCTGATCAACTTTATTGTGTGTCACAGCCTCTGGAGAGCAGCCAGCTGCTCTCCGTGAAAGCACCCAACTAACAGTCAGTAGCCTTTGCAGTGAGAGATTTTAGAAGGACAGTGAGTTGCTCCTACCTCTTTATTTAAGGAGGTTAAGCAAAATAGCCTAGTGGTTTGATTCTGTTGTGGATTTTTTTTTTGTTGTTGTTTTTCCCTTTAACTGAAAGAATGCCAGAGCTTGTCTAAACATAGGAATTGCCTAGTTTAAGATTTGATGTTGCAGTGGTTTAATTAACTCTAAAAGCAGTTTAATGGGCAAAGAGCAGTAGCTTTCAAGTTAAAAAGGATTGCAGGCCTTGTTTTCTGGGGTTGGGAATTTTTAACCTGTAAATCCAATGTTAATTGTCCCATTTTGCATCTATCTTGCTTCTTTTCCTCTGTACTTCTAGAACAAGATATCTAAGCTACAGGTTGTTATGAAAAGGCCATGCATATACAATGCCAATGAAAATAGTAAGTTGTTGTCTGGATAACTGGCTAAATCAAGACTTGAGTACATTCAAATGGCAAAATGATGAAATTTTACTTCTCTTTGGACTTCTGTGCTTCATCAGCAACTTCATTCACTTGCTCCATAGCTTCGTTTCTGAGGTTTGCTTTTAATTTCTATTTTATAACAAGGTAGAAGCATAGAAATATAAATCCAACATTATAGGGAAAGTCCATAGACTTTAGGCTTTCCAGTAAGTAGAGTTAGTTAATGTTTCTGCTGACTCTGTGACTAACTGCTTGTGATGACAAACTAGGAGTGCATGGGCCCCTTAAATGGATAGGCAAGTTCAGGTCTGTGCTCCTTCCCTGAACTTCCTTTGAGTGCTAGCTCATTTTTTGTTTCGTGACTGCTCAGCAAAGTCTGTTGCTGTTGTCGCTGTTCCCTATTGTTTATGAACAGAAGTCATAACAGAACAAATCAATGGATTATTAATTTTGCTGTGTTAATTAAAAAAGAGATGGGGATCTGTGATTCTTGGGTGATGAGTGCAATGCAAGAGCAGCTGGATCATTAACAGTAGCCATTACAAAACTGCATCTTCCCATGGATTTGTCCTACATTTCCTAGCTCCACCTCAGGTCGTCTTTAAACTCCCACATACACGACCTTTAGCTTCCTCCCTGGCTCAGCAGTCTAACCTCCTGCTTTTATAATGTGCGCACACATACAGGCATATGTCAAAAAATCCACCCAAACTAGCCCCCTCAGTGCTCTCCTGCAGCTTCCTCTACCTTCCTTTGTCTTGCTGGCAGGGCAGGAAGCAGCATGTTCCCTGGCTGCTTAAGAGCTGCTGGCTGCTGCCTCTCAGACACGAGGTGGGCTGCCCCAAACACGTCAGAGTTGAGCTGTTGGTACCTCTCCCTCTGCAATGGGGTGGGTAGAGAAGGATGGAGTAGTTTCCCCTCTCTTCACAACTACTGGTCTTCAAACAAGGGGAGACGGCCCTAACTCTGTATTTCCAGCCTTGTAACAAAGTTTAATTGAAATCATCCATTGACCCCGGGGGTGAAGAAGAGGATAAAGAGACAGCACAATAATGTGAACTTCATTTTCTTAGAAAAGCAAGATTGAAAAAAATAAAATAAAATACTTGGGCAACATTCTGCTGCGTGTATAAGCAGCTACGTGATTTAAAGCATGGGAGCAGTTCAATTGAAACTTACTGGCCATCCCATGGAACTGCAATTGTGCCTACACTGTGTTCTCCTCCAGCTGTTTTTCCATCCCAATACTTAAAATGATCATAATAATAAAGTTTCTAAAGCTGAGTATTTTGCAGGTGGTTTTAAGGCCAGGTGTCCTCCTTTTGATTAGAAACTACAGCTTCTTCCTTATCTCCAGGCTGCCAGATCTGTGAATAAAGGACTTTTTTTTTTTTTTCCCCCTGTACTGGAAATTTTTTAAGCTATTCAGAGAATCCTCGGCAAATATTTCTCTATCAGGCAGTAATTGAATAAAGTCCCAAGTAGTATGATGTTGTCCCTCCCTTTTCCTCTGAGTTTTTAGTATTCATTGCTTTTCCTCTATTAATAACACAGATAGCTAGAAGAGAAAACCTTTCTGAGAGGTGATATGGTCATCTAGCAGCTGCCCAATAAGGCCCTGTTGGCTGTAAGTCCGTGTTGAATTTTCCTGAGAAAAAGTAAACTGTAACGTTGTCAGTTATAGTAATAATAATAAACACTTTCTTGTGTTTGCCATTTAAAGGGAAAGGAACAGGGACTGTTTTATCTTCCTATGTAAGTAGGCATAAGCAGATGTTAATGCTCGGGGTGAAAGCGCTTCTCCATCTCCTTTAGTCACTGGAGCTTATCTGGAGCCGTGGATGGGTACTCACTGGCAGCTGGAGCCCAGCGAGGGGTGCTAGGTTTTGTCTGCGCAGTGAACTCCAGGTTGTGGGAGTAGAGACTCAGCAGCGTCCTGTGCCTTTGCTTGCTTCCAAGCCCACATCTCCCCTGACTGTGTGCTGTAATGGCAAAGCTGGAGTTAAAATGAGAAACCCAGTGGGCAGGAGGTTTTTATATTTACCTAGAGCTTTAGGGTAAGCATCTCTCTTGCTATTGTAACTGCCTCTGTGCTCAAAAATAATACAGCAGAAAACTTGTGAGCCTATATATAGCCCAGAAAATATAAATGGGTGTTGATGCAGTGGTTGAGAAAGTGGTAGGTCAGCTTACTACCTCTAGGTGTTTCTCCTGGGAAGTGGAAAGTCCGTTCCTGGAAACTAAAGTTGCACAACAGTCTATTCTGCCCAGCTAGGCATCCAGAAAACACCAGTCACTTCCCCACTCATCACCTGTTGTTTCCCGAGTTGCATTCATGCTGTCTTGTTAAAATTGCCAGATCTGGTTTAGTATTACTTCACCATATATTAAGATCAAAGGAATATTTTTTAAAAAAAGTTCTGAGGTCAGAAACTCTTAATGAGAGTTTAATTAATTAATGAGAAATGTTCACAACAACTTTGTGAAAATGGCCTTCTTCCACCTTAAATTTTAAAAGATGAAGTACTGCAGTCAGTTACTTCTCAGTCCACTGAATTGTAATTTTTTTCTCTTGTCTGCCTAGATGTAAACCAATGGTATTAGCACTCAAGCAGCTACACTTTTTGTTTAAACTAACGAGTCTGGCACCTTCTCTAGTTTCTTTTTATTGCATAAAAGCTTACCTTATTTTTTCAGATTAAATATTACCATAGACACAATAAGATTTTTTTAAATTATTTTGAAAAATATGGAGGGGGCAAAAAACACAAATCCACTCTCCATTCCAGAGTGGATCCCTGCCTGAAAAGAAATTATTTTGTCTTTGGAGTTTGGAGATAGCCAAGAGCTCATTGTAAACTTAGGTAGTTATTTCTGTGCTTCAGGAAAGAAAAGATTACTTTTTAAACAAACTTGGAATCAAACACAAAGCATTAAGTTGATTGTTGGGCTGTAATCGGATTTGGGCGTAGTCACATAGTAGTCCTTGTCTGCACTTAAACTCCTCATTTACTGCCTCAGTTAAAATTCAGGACTCTAGGCCAGCTGTTCCTCTGTAGCTGAGGATCAGTGTAGCTTAGGAAGAAGAAGGGATAAAGTAACAGTAAATATTTGCATTGAAATCAAATCAGTATATTCATGTGATAATTTATGGCCCAGTCAAGATTCACAAGCACCTCCAAACCTTGAAGGAGCTCTGTAAAGCTAACCTCTGCTTCCCCCTCCCACACATCTTGCCCTTAATATGAAGGCTCTCTCACACCAACTACAGTTGTTCCCAAGAAGCTGAACTGCAGCTAAGGACTTTAGAGGTTTTCTCATTACAATTGATTTCTGATTACAGCCAGCTAGAATCAACACGCGGATACTGGTACAGGGCAACAAGGAAGCCATACAGCTCATATAACAAAAGGGCCCTTATGAGTCTAGTGTGATCATATTTAGAGTTGTCTACATGGTGATCCTAGCCAGCCTGAGTTGTGTGAGCTGGCACCTCTTTTCCCCGATCTGTATCGTCTTTTGGCTGTACTGTAGTCATCCATACTGGGCTATCTACTCTTATATACAGCACCAAGATGTACCCCAGGTTCTCTTATACCATATTTCCCCAAGGCACTTCTTGTTTGTGTGGGGGATGGGGGAAGAGGAACAGAACTTAGATGAGCCAGAAGAAAGGAATAGTAGACCAGGATGAGACATGTCTGGAGAAAGGTAAATTTATCCTCATATCCAGAAAGTAAACAATTTTGGGGGGTGGCTGGGACTGCTGCTTGGAATTTGAGCTAGAGATTTACAGTGTTCACGTAATTTAAAGAGACTTAAAATGTTGATTGTCATCTGATATGTATGGATGTGCGATTGGCCTTAACACTAAGAATCATATTCACACAAATATAAGTCAGCAGCAGAAGCTGTTAATATAAACATAGTGTTTTTCATGATTTTGAAATTAAATTACTGTTCATTCTTCCTCCTTTCTGGTTAATATCATCACCAAAATTCCCTAGGAGATAGTTCCTGGAGAGGGACTATCCACATTTGGTTTCTGATAATTGTTTTCGTTCTATCGGCTGAACAGATAATTACTTGCTAAACTGAAGCATTTTGAAACACTAGCATGGCATCTGATTCATCAGAAGGTGAAATTGCTTTTCTTCCTGTTAGGTAATAAAATGTGATTGAATAGGCCTTGTAACCCAATCCCCAGTCCATAATAAGCAAATAAGGCAAGGTCAGGGTATAGTAGGGGTTTTAGGCAGTCTTTTCCTGGAGCGATAAGGAAATAGATTTCCTTATTAAGGTTGGTGCAGCTCAGGGTTTTGTAATGGTGCATGACTCTGCAAGGACAATGCCAAGACATGTAACTATGTTTTAGAAATACAAAGCCCTGGTTGTTAAATAGAAATTGGAAGCTAGGACTAATACACGATTAAAAAAAAATAAGCTTCATTTTCTGTAAATTCCCATCAAATCAGTGGATTCAAACCCCTAACAGTGGAATTGTCCTCAGTGTAAAGCAATGCTTAGACAGGAGAGTTCCTTTCAATACTACCTAGAATAAAGTCATCCTTGTCTAGAGAGAGGAGGAGTCTGTCTGCTTGCTTTTGTGGCTGAGCTCAGGTTGAACGTTCTCACCTGGGAGATGAGAAAGGTTTCTATGCCTCACAAAATAAAATAAAATGTTTTCTGTGTGTTACAGGCTGCCTTAGGATCCTCTGGGCTCTGATTAGCTTCTGAGTGTGCTGGGGTGTGAATCTTCCTTCCAGTGTGCGAGTGCTCCCTTGGCTCTGACAGCCCTTTAAAGGCCGCAGATGCTCACCAGGTTTAATTTCACTTCTAGGTATGTATTTTCATTTGGGGGAGGAGGAGAAGAGAAAAGGAGGGATGAATTTTGAGGTGAGGGCGATTTCCGTTTGATTTTTTCCTTTATTTTGGGGTATAAGAAATAAGGCAACAGAAATCACAAGCTGTAATGCAGAGGATGTTCCCCAAATAACTGTTTGTTTAGGAGAGGTGGAAAAAATGCCAGAAAGACTGTTGAAGCATGGAAAGGACAAGCATATATAAATATGACATGTATGTCTGCATCTCTCCTTTCAACAAAACATTTCAGCAAAAGCTCACCAGAGGAAAACATCCGCAAGAAGACAGAAGGCAACAAGAAGTCAGAGGGCAGTAGGATGGGGCAGGTGACCAGAAAATCAAGAAGCTAAGCAAGCTACTGAGAAAGGTTTTGATAGAATTTCCTCTAACTTGCTGCAGAAGGCCTACGTGCCGAGGCCGGTACACCACAGTCTATCTGAGCGCCGTGCTGTGGAGTGAGATACCAGTGAGGAAACGGTAAACAATGCAACTGTTAAGATACTAACTCACTGGATGTAAATTTGAAGAACACTCCCAAACTGATATTTTTGGCATAAGTAATGAATCATCCCTAGTAGACCAAAGTCTGCGAGAAGTATGACAGTATTCCTTTGAGAAGTTTATCTAAAACTTTCTGTATGTTCACGTAGTGTGTTGTGTATAACATGCTTATTTTTTCCCGTCATATAATATGTAAGTTTAATATAATATCCTTTTAAACACTACTGCAAGCAGCTTTCATTCCGTCAAGTATGTAATAGAAATGTTTATTGAAGAACTTGGGGATGGTGGTAGTCCCCCTGCAGGAACAGGATGCACAAGATTCCGGGTCAAATGGTTATAGCGCATGGGAGCTGCATGGCAGGATAAAGAGCCAGTGTTTCAGAGATAAGGAAACGAGGAAAGATTCCTTGATTATTCTTTTTACTCAGTGAGGTTATGGGAAATATGTCCAAACCACACATGTTCCTAAAGGAGTTTGTGACAGCATGAAAAGAGCTGAAATTAGTGTTTCTCACTGAAAATTTAAGTGAGCCTGAACTAACCAACTGCAAGAACTTCGCTTCTGAGGCTAGTCCAGAAGTATGGTTTTGCCTGTAGTGACTGAACCAAAAAGCACAGGGAAGGCTAGTTGTATTTTGAACAAAAAGATGATTTTTTTAATGAAAACAACAAAAAATTAAGCTATTTGTTCCTGACCAAAAATCTTTTATTTTTTAAAAATCTAAATACGTTTTGAATTGAAAAGTTACGTTTCAAAATAGTTTTAGACAAACCTCTTGGTTTTTCTGAAAGAAGTGTCTTTGTTGGAGAGAAAAAAGAAAGCAATGAAGCAAAGAATTTGGTATTTTATATGTTGTCTTCTCATTTTTTCAGCTAAACTTCTGAATTGATTTGGCCCTTATCTAGAAGGACAATTTTACTCCCCTTAATCTTTTTTCCCCAGCAGATGCAGTGGGAAAAAATATTAATCTACTTCTGTTTATCACCTCAGTAGAAATTGTAGCACATAAATCACTAAATGAAGTTAGTGGGCAGCTTGTTGCAGACAGGATCTTTTTGTAAACTTGATTTCTGTATCTCGTTTTTATTGAGAAGGAGGTCTAACTGCTTCCATCCAGGTCCACATAAAACTTCCCATCTTTCTTTAATTTAGATTATGCCAAACACTGGTTCTGCCCTCAGATAGGAGGGTAATCCTGGACCATTTGAAGTCAACAGAAATTATTTTCTCTTGACTTCATGGGAGCTAAGATATCTTGTTACACTTTAAGCTCAGGTTTTTGTGGTTTGAAGTGATCTTTGCTTACCGTAATGCACCTTCACACCAATGAACGCAGTAGAACGTGCTTTTGTGTTGGGGTTCAGCATGCCACACAGTCAGTTAGAGCAGATTAAGGCTCATGAGGCTGTTTCTCTACTGCATACCAGCTTGACAGTCCTCTGACCACCATCTCATATACTGTGGATAATCTTTTTATTTTTGTTACCTGCCTGAAAACTGGTCAGGCCCTGGCCAGTTTAAGAAGCTGGCATCCTGCTGCGTTTCGTCCTTTATTGTCATTGATTAAAAAAGTAGGAGACTGTTCAGACCAATGCAAAAAGCCTTCACTAATAAAGTGCCAGTAGTGCAGCACTTTGTTTGGAAAGAAAGTGTCCCGAGGATGCAAGTAGGCATTGTATCCTTAGCCAGTTAGTTACCGTTCCAGTTCCTCCTGTGCCACACAGCACGCTGTAAGGGATTGCTCCATTCCCAAGGACCTTATTTTTGTTGCAGAGAAGTGCATTTCTTTGTTAAAGACGCTAGCAGCTGAGTGAAATTCCCCTCAAAACTAGTACAGGCTTGTTACACAAACATTTCTAAATACTTTTCAGATATCTCTATTTACAGAGTTTGTCTTCTCAGCCTGGGCAGCACCTATATGTATTTTAAAATAAGTTCATTCCAAAGGCAATTAAGACTTTTGTCTCTCTAAGCTTTTGACAAGAATAGAACAGAGTTTTCTGAGAAGATTGATAGGAAGAAGTTTGGCACCACTGTACGATTAAGATATAGAACACTTTGTATGTGGTTAGATAATTATGATGTGTGTCAACACTTACATACACCTACCCTACTGGGTTCATGTTGAGTGGGTGTTACCATCCTGTTTAAATACTGTCCAGATCAGGCTGTTTACAGGTGCTTTTTCTTGGACTTAGCAGCATTACGTCATATTTGTACTGGTGCACTACAGAGAAGATTATGCTACCAGGCAGCCTGCTATGAATGCTGTCGAACAGAACAGAGAAGCAGAGTGGGTGTGATATACCTCGTACGGCCCAGAGATAAAACTCTTTGCCAAGCGGGACAGGGAAGGGCATGCAAAGCCCTTAAAAAGAATCATCAACATAAGGATAGACAATAATCCATTAGTGAAAAAATGACAATGTGGAAACACCCCTAAGATGCCCAGCAATATCAGACTGAAAGCAAGTGGCAGAAAGTTCGTAATTAACAAAACAAATCCAAAGCAGTATCTTTTTTTTTTTTTTAAACCAGGTAATTGACGAAGAGCTGAAAAAAATGAACTCTGCCATACAAAAGTATTTGGACTCTTTCATTGCTGGAAACATTTGCTGTATAGCAGTTATCTGGGAAATCAAAGCAGCCCATGATGAATCTGGCTCCTCGTAGTATCTTTCTCCCTCTTTAGTAACAGAGATCTCTACCTATAACCAGGCTGGAGGTGTATTGCACTCTCAATACTTTCTCATTAAATTCACCTTTATCGACTTTCTTAAAGTAACTTTGTCTTAAGCAAGCTTTGCTCTTTCTTAACGTCTTTCTTATTTCCTTGCAGCTCATCATATCACCGAACTGAGTTCTTTTTCCTCTAAGAAAAAATTTCAGTGCAATTCAGAAGTCTTCATAACATAGTAATCTATAGCTAATTCAGAGGTGCCATGCCCTGCCACCCCTATAAAGAGACTTCAACTAGTAAGTGTGTTTCTTGCTATATATTTAGTGGAATCTTATTGGCATCTTGTTAAATTAGCTGCCTTTCTGCATTCTGCCTTCATCCACTTCAAGTGGAAACCATATGATGTAAGAGTTTTTGGTTGTAAGACACTCTGTTCATTGAGAATTTAAAAATTCACTAGTCCTAGCCAGGCCCACAGATTTTCCATTCTTCTTTATGTTTAGGATGGTTTGACACTGAACTATATAAATAAGATGTTTACATATGAATATGAAGTTAGTTTGAGTGTCTACTGCTATGTGCTTTTGAATTCTGCCCTTGCCAGAAAACAGAAGCCTTTGAATGCTAAATTAAAAACACAGCTCAAATTGCTATTCTTTTATTTATAGACTTTTACATGAAAATTAGCTTTTAACTTCATGAAGAAATAGTTCCACTGCTTGGTTCCAGCTAAGAGAGAACTTGATAGAATTTGAATGACAGAATTCTTTTCTTAGAATATATTTAAGTGTGGTTAGTTTTACATTTGTACTTACCATTTTAAAATAAGCAGGTTATGCATAAAAATGTTTGTGCTACTGTCACTGGGTGATATTATTATAGATTCTTACGCACTGCATTTCTTCGAACAAATTTTAAGGTTTGATAAGACATTCTGTGACGTTTCTGTAGGGAGAAGGAGCTTTACAAGCAGGAGCAGAGATTGCTTTCTGCCTTGCAATCTGACTGTAGTCTGATTCTGACTGATATTACCCTGTAGGAACCAGGCATTTTTGCTAGGCTGGGTTTTCTGAAAGAGGGTGATTCACATGTCTGTGTAAGGCATGATCTATACACATTAATGAAATAAATTATACTATCAGTTGATGCCAGGCCTATGTCACCATTTTGTCTCCTAAATAGAAGCCAGACTCTGAGGCCCTAATTTCTGCTGCTTCCCATGCTGGTGTCACTCGTGCCAAAAAGGGTTTGTAGCCTTGAAAGAAAAAAACAGCGTTGTTGATCTGAGGAAACAGACTCAAAGGTTAGAAGCCTATGGGAGTCAGTGCAGACCCTCAACCGGCCTTCCTGTAGGAGGCAGCAGTTTTCTCCTCCCCGTGGAGAGAAATTTTCTGTCTTAAGCTTTTGCATTAGCAATCACTGCTGCCTTTCAGCGCTCACCAGCATGCCACCTGCAAGCAGCCGCAGGCATGGTAATATTTTCTTTGTTGTTTTATTGTTCCACTTCCCTTTTCTCAGCTGCCTGCTTGTCACATCTGAGAGCTTCTGCCTCAGTCACGTATTAATAAGACCACATTTCTATTAAAACCATTGCTGTTTTTTAAGAAGTACTTGAGGGAACCATAGAAAATTCTGATCACTTCTCAGAAATGAGAATGAGTTACAGAAATGCCTTCATTGGAATAGATTACTGGTGCACTGCAAGGGCAGTGCAGACACCACAGCCAACACTGGATGGAAGGATAGTGCACTCACTGCACAGCTGTGTGAATACCACCATACCATATCTTGAGCTACAGCAGATAAAGCAATCCTTGACATTTTATGAATCTCTTACTATTTTTATGGTAGCCTAAACCTGTAACTTGAAATATTTATTTTATGAATTAAACTTTGTGAAAGAAAGGGTAAGAACTCACTGGTGAACCTCTCTAATTCCTGCCCCTGCCAAGAGCTAATGATAAGTGCTTTGCATCTGAAGTTAGGTTAGATAGCAAGATGTAGAAGTATACAGAGAAGTGTGAGGCATGAGGATGCAATGATCTCCCAAGCTAAATAATTTTAAGCAGCCTCAGGAGCAGGTCTTTCTGCAGGGATTTTGCAGTGAAAATATCCTAAAGTCATGATGCCATGTGTCTGTGCAGGGACTTCACCTGGAAAAAACTTTCCTTGCAGCTGAGAGACTGGAAAATTAAAGCAGCATGGTTTCAAAGAGAAGGAGGGAGATAAGTGGAGGGAGGTGAACTTACTAGAAGAGAAATCTAAGAGAAGTCTGAGGACCAGACATATACTAATGATCACAGAGGAAAGACAGTGTTAAAGACAATTGGAAGTTAGGACCCTTAGGTTTCCATTACAGCCCTGCCACTGACACTGACTCTTGGGAGGATCACTTTGTTTCCCACTTAATTTCTTACATCCCTGACCAGAACTA